TAGGCGGCCTGAACATTGTTCGCTTAGTTTCGCGAGCTGTTCTGCCGCGAAACACCCACCGACATTACATAACCACACCCCTACCTCTGATGATACCAGAGTGCGTGCGAGTGGTGAGCACCCCCCCGTGAAATGTGCACCTCGGCAGAGGAGGAGGAGGAGGAGGAGGAGGAGGAGGAGGAGGAGGAGGAGGAGGAGGAGAGAGGAGGAGGAGGGGGAGGAGGGTGAAGGGGAGGAGGAGGAGGAGGAGGAGGAGGAGGAGGAGGAGGGAGGAGGAGGAGGAGGAGGCGCATCGCCGATGTGTCGGCGATGCGGCGCTCCGACCCCATCTAAGAGGCCTGGAGCGACTGTGGCAACCTCTAGCAGCGTCACCTGCCGGGCCTTGCGCGGCACTCCGCCACCGCGCCGCGGCGGAGCTGCGGGCGGCACTGCCGGCGCCCAGGAGCTCGCAGCACGAGCACGCCTCGGCCAGCCCATGGCCCGCGCGCCGAGGTGTTCAGCGCGACCTTGCGCGGCACTCCGCGCCCTCAAGCCGCAGGCCCGGCCCCAGACGGGCATATGAAGCGTCGGGACCTGCTTCAAGGGGCAACAGCTGGCCCCTGCCGCCCCCCCATTGGGAGTGCTGAAGCCAGCGCCTCGCCTGAGACACCCTCAGAATCTGTTCCGATATGGGTCATCATCTTGATGATCAGCATAATCGTCATCACCATCCTCCTCCTCGGCATCATCGTCATCCACAGCACCATCGTCATCATCCACATCATCCAGATCATCAGCATAATCATAAGCATCAACATCAGCATCGGCATCAGCACCATCGTTATCATCATCAACATCATCATCATCGTCGTCATCATCCTCATCCTCATCCTCCGCCTCCTCATCCTCCGCCTCCTCATCATCATCACCATCATCATCATCATTATCATCATCATCATCATCATCATCATCGTCATCGTCATCGTCATCGTCATCATCATCATCATCATCATCATCATCATCATCATCATCATTGAATCATTATCATATGGTGTTCGAGTACGTTTTATTGGTTTTAGGAGGTGAGGTTCCTTCTCGGCACGGTCAGAGTGATAACCATCATACCATCTTAGGAGATGGGGAAGCATAGGGTTGTCGCCGATGCCTTTGGTGTCTTTCTCAGCTCAGAGGCGTCGCAAGGCTTGGTCATGCTATAAGATGCTTTGACATTCTGCGCCTGATGATACATGCGTGGTGCGATAACGCAGTCAATGATGCAGGATGAACATTTTGGCCAAGATAAGCTGGACTTGTCGGACAGACGGCATTGATCAAACGAAAGCATGCTGATGAGCTGCCGAGCACAAGGCTGCTGCAGGCTGCGATTAAAATGGCCCAGCTCATGTGTGACGGGTAGGGGTATGGCCATCAGGGGCACGTATATGCCCGACATGATAGTTGGGATCGATGCCCAGGATGGGTAATCATCTGCCGGATGGTGAAGCGCAAGTTGTTTTGCCATTCCTTTGTCTGCGAATCGTCACGTCGAGCTCGGGAGGGGGCTAGCCTTGGGCTGGCAGTCAAATGACACGGACATCATACCACCTTGTCAGCTGTTGCATCGTACAATGCCTCCTGGTTCCAACCTGTACTGTGGAGGAGGATGTAACGTTAGAGGCCACATTGCATAAACCAACTCTTGTTTTTTGGACTTGAGGCACTGCCCGTATGAGGCAATACATCCTGAGACGGCCCAGGAGGCCCCGAATATCGCCCGAAGACAACCCAAGAGGCCCCCAAAAGAGCTCCAGGAGGCCCGGAAACGGCCCCGGAGGCCCCCCCAAGAAAGCCCGTAGAGGCTCCCACCACGAAGGCCCGCAGAGGCTCCCAACAGGACCCCAAGAGGGGAGACCGACCTGACACTTCGAGCAGCCCCCGCCCTCCCGAAGTAGCTCCCGAGATCGAGGCCCCCAACAGGCCCAAGAGACTCCCAAAGGGGCTTCGAACATGCTTCTGCGAGGCCCACGAGAGGCCTCGCGCGAGACTCCAACAAACCTCTGAGAGTCAATCGCCTACGCGGGCCCTCCCATCTGGTCCCCGATTCAGGGTCAGAGGAACCCGCCGAAAGGCCTCTCCAATATTGCTTTTGGAATTGAGATTGTAACGTCAATATGCGCATTGCCGCATTTCTGATGATAGCCGCGGAAATGTAGATAATTAGATAACCATGGGAAGGTTGTCGTATGGTTCGAATTCCAAGCGAAGTCGGCGGAGAACTTGCAATGGTATGGCTCCAGAGCGTAAGGTTTGACGTACGTCTTGTCTTGGATCATGCTGCACTGAAATCATGGAAATGTAGGTCGGTGCGAATAGGTAGTGAGCGGAACAATGTGGCATGATCACGCTCGCATGACAATGCCAAGGAGGGAGTGCTCACTGCCAATGTGTGGTCATGCGTGAGTAAACAGGGAAGTTCGTTATCAGCTCAGTTCTGTGGGTCTTTGGCCAGAGGTAGAAAGGAGGATGAGGAGGAAGAGGAGTACCAGGATGATGCTGCTGCTGATGATGCTGCTGCTGTTGATGAAGATGATGCTGATGCTGATGCTGCTGCTGATGATGATGGTGATAATGATGCTGCTGATGATGCTGCTGATGATGATGCTGATACTGATGCTGCTAACGATGATAATTCTGATGCTGCTGATGATGCTGACGATGACGAGGGGATGAAGGAAGTAGGTAGGACCGCGGCCTGAAACCAATTCGGGACATGTCTAGCCCCACTCAGCCTCCGAGTCGGAGGCGCTGCCAGCCGGTCGTGGCCTCCTCCGGATCTTTTTGGCACAGTGGCGCTCTCGCCCAGTGCCTGGACAGCGGGGAGCTCGGCCTCGACCAGGCCAGCCACTCCCGGCGTGGCGGCTCGGGGATCCTGGCGGGGACAGGGGACCCCACGCCGGCACCCGAAGCCTCCAACGCACTGCCGCTCTGGGCCTCCACGCTGGGGCAGAGTATCGACGCACAGCGCACCCGCACCTCCAGACGCACCCGTCCAGGGCGCTCAAGAGTGCAGGTCCTTCCTACCTTGCCTGCACGAGGCGTAGAGCTGGGCTCGGAGACGACGCTCGCCCAACCCTGAGCCCGTCTGCTAACGGAGCCAGGGCTTCAGGAGGGCCCGCGTGGGCTTGCGCCCGCTGAGCAAAAACGACCCACGGGCGCAGCAAAAGCGCCAAACACGATGAACACGATTGCCATCACGGACGCTCCGCGTCAGTAACCTCGCGTACAGCAGAGGGTAAGCGTTGAACTTGTAGGATGCACCCGGGCAGACTCCTGGTTCACCGCCAAGAGCAAAGGTTCCTCTGGAGGCTCCGGCGGCTGGGCCGCCTCGCCCTCGCCGCGAGCCTCGAGGCAGGACTCGAGCAAGTCATGATGATCCTTGCCGAGCAGCCTGCCCCCCACCAGAGCGTGAACCTCCTGTGGGAGTACGAGGAGGGGGAAGGGGGAAAAGAGGAGGAGGCGGAGGAGAATGGGGGGAATGAGGAGGGGAGCAAGGGAGAGGCGACGCAGGAGTAGGAGGAGGAGGAGGAGGAGGAGGAGGAGGAGGAGGAGGAGGAGGAGGATTAACGGGAGAAGCACGAGGGGCGCTGACAGCCTGAGCGAGCACAACCCTGGGACGGAGAGCGCACGGGCATTGGTGAGCGAGTGCCTGCGCATCGGCCTAGAGCCGTGGCGGGCACCTCGTCAGTCCATGGGGCAAATGGGGTAGCCTGGAGGCATCGAAGTTCTGGCAGGACCCTGTGCGAGGATGACGCAAGGGACGGGGCGATGGCGACGGCGAGCCTGGTCCACCACCTGCACCTCGGCCACGTGCCTCCGCAGGCAGGCGGCCAACGCCTGCACGGCTGGCGCGAAAACGCGCGCCCTCCCCCACCCCCTGGCGGGAGCTCGCGGGGGGGAGAGGAGCTATCCATCTCCCTCCTCCGTCCTCCCTCCCTCCTCCCTCCTCCCTCTTTTTCCTCCTCCTCCTCCTCCTCCTCCTCCTCCTCCTCCTCCTCCTCCTCTCCCCTCCTCTGGCTACTTTGGCTCTTCCCTTGTCCGGCTCCTCCCTCCTCGGGCTCCTCCTCCTCCTCCTCTTCCTCCTCCTCTCCTTCCTCCTCCTTCTCTTTTTTTGTTTTCTTCTTTTTCTCCTCTTTCGTTCTCCATAGCCCCTGGACGGAATGGACACCTCCGTCCTCCTCCGCGAGAAGAACAGGAACTGGCATTACCAGAATCGTTCGAAGGTCAGCGCGTATTTCTGGGATCGGCGCTGGCCATCCTTCCCTGGCGCACGGGGGCATGCTAGTGGCGGCGCCGGAGGCGGCGACGCAAGGGGTCCAGCACAGATCCCCAACATCCGCGCGGACCTCCGAAATTGTGTGTTGTGCCAATTATTGTCCTCCGTCCTCCTTCCTCTCTCCCTCGCAATCCCTCTCTTTCCCGTCGCCCTCGCTTTGCTCACCGTCATCTTCTGCACCGCGTCCTTGCGTCCCTCGCCGTCCTCGTCGCCGCCCTCGTCGCCCTTGCCCCGCCCCCCCCCTCCCACCCTCCCTGGCAGGAGGGGGAGGAGGAGGAGGAGGAGGAGGAGGAGGAGGAGGAGGAGGAGGAGGAGGAGAGGAGGAGGAGGAGGAAGAGGAGGAGGAGGAGGAGGGGAGGGGGAGGGGGATCAGGAGGAGGAGGAGGAGGAGGAGGAGGAGGAGAGGAGGAGGAGGAGGAGGAGGAGGATGAGGATGAGGAAGAGGAGCAGGAAGAGGAGGAGGAAAAGCGAACGACCGAGCGAGCGGAAGCCGAGAGGCAGCAGGATCCAGAGGCGTGTGGGGGGCAAGCAAGCACCTCACCCTCCCCAGCACCTACACGGTGGGGCCCGAAGGCCAGGACCACCTTGCAAGCGCCAGGGAGGGGAGTGAGGCACCTGCCTGCCTCAAAGCGGGCGGCCCGCGGCGCGGCCGCGGAGCACGGGGCCTGCGGCAGGCCCGTGCTCCCCAGCACAAGGCCCGCCGAAACGACGAGGTGCTCCCACAGGGCTCCCATCGCCACGAGCAGGATGACCCACCACTCGTGGCGCAGCACGAGAGCCTCGAACGCGGCGCACACGTTGAAATCGCCGACGGCGCGGAACACGGTCCACACGTGGATGCGCGAGCCGTCGGAATCCTACCACGCGCTTAAGGCCGAGCCGCACGGCAAAACAGGCCGGGCGCGCCCGCCTCTTGGAGATCCCAAAGGCCAACACAGATGCAACCGCAAGGTGCTCGGACGGACGTCACCTGCCGTGACGAACGAGCTAGCGCAAGGCAGGACTTGAAAGCAGAACGGGCTGGCGAGGCTCAGGAGGATCAAACACCACATTATCACTTCGCTCTGAAAAAGAAGTGGGCGCCCATGGGGATCAAACACCACATCCGAACGCTCAGTCTGACTCCTGAAGATAATCACCATCGTCGGCGGCACGTCCTAACTCCACAGCCTCGTGGTACTCGAGCCCGCACGCTAGGATAATCCTCGACGTGTCCAGGAACCTCTGCTTCTTCAGTGGGATCAGCGACGAGTGAATTTTCACATCCAAATCCAATTTTCTGGCAGCTCTGACTATATCTCTGGCCGGCTCTGAAGGAGACCGCGGCGACTCCAGACGAACTTCAGCATGGATGGTCTGTGGATGTCTGAAGTTGTCAAGGTGTCTGCGATACTCGACCTCTCTGCCGCCTCCGTGCTTGTCTTTGCACTTTTGGGCCAGGCCACGATGATTCTTCGAATCGGAACAGAAGTGCTGATAGCAGGTCGGGCAGGACAGAAGACAGTGTGGCGAATCCACCACCGAGTGCTGCACTACACTCTGCTTGGCAAGGCTCCACGGCCCCGAGAAACCATCCAACTCATCTTCCAGCACGAGCGCCCTCAAGGGCTCTTGGCCCACTATTATCGGACGAATTGGCTGTGACTGCACCTGCTCCTCATCTTCTTTCAACGGAAGATGAGAATCGAGGCCCTCAGCGTTAAATTCGTACAAGCAAGCTTGGAAACTGCCAGCACATTGCGGCAACATTTTGCGCATCCTCCTGCATCTGCTGACAAAGTTAACGTACTCGTCATCTGGCATGTTGTGGCCAGCTCCCCTGTTCGCCAAGGCATCTGCAGTTGAGTTGCCCGTCTTCTCAAGGTCTGACATACCTTCAATCACATCATTCGACGTCGCATGCCCTTTGACATGCTCGAACTGCTGCTTGTGGAACTCCTCATTCAGAACAACTTGCTTCCACAAGTTTGCCTTGCAATTTCCCGCCCCCACCGCGAGGCTGGGGGCCTTGCAATATGATAGCGTGCCCTTGCCCGATAGAACCGTGTCAGCGCCAAGGACTTGTCTACTCACAATAAACATCGCGTAGTCATCGCCACACTTTGCTACCTGATGCGGGCACATATCGTATGGCACAGCACCATGATGTATGGCAGTGCGCCTTCTCTCATTGTCGAAGACCACTACAAACCATCCAACCCTTCGCATGTACGGGATATCAGTGTAGAAGCCACTCCGTCAATGAAAACAAAGCCTCCTTCCACATGAACTATACTTTTCCGGTCCATGTCGTGAAAATGATTTGCTGGAAACGCAAAAGCTTGGGCAAGAAGATCAAGACGGAGGCCACGACACAATACCGACTGGAACGTCTCAGGCGCCATCTTCATCCTTTTCACTGAATTCCTAAGCTCTGCTGGGAACTACTCCTATCTGAAGAATCGTAGGCGTCGCACTCGAACAAGCGGTGGTAGAACGTGCCTGGACAACCCTGACATCCCAAGCAAACCTCGGGCTCCCCTAAGAACACCTTCGACACCCTGTGCTGGCACCAGTGAGCCCCTGAGCATCGCCCCGTAGAGACCTCCTCTGCCTTGGAGGGAGCTTGCTACGCTTCGAATGGAGGACCTCATTCATGGGGATCCACGAGGGGGGGACCTTGTGGGACTCGAGGAGGAGGAGGAGAAGGAGGAGGAGGAGAAGGAGGAGGAGGAGGAGGAGGAGGAGGAGGAGGAGGAAGGTGCCTCCAGAGCCCCCGCCTCTGCGGCGCGCTCCGCGGGCGCCGCGCTGCTGGCGGCGGCGCAGATGTTGCGCAGCGCGGCGGAGGCCTTCTCCTGCGGGGGGCGCGGCGCCCCCCCCCGCCGCCCGTCGAACCTCGGAGCTCGCCGCAAAGGGCGGCCCCTCGCCCTGAGGGGGAACGACCTGCCATCGCTCGGAGGTTCATTCCCCGTTCGTTCTTCGGTTTCGTGTGCGTGCTTTTCTCCTCGTCGCAGGACGATCCGGGATGCTCCCCGATGGTCCCCGCCAGGAAAAGCGCACACGTCCGAGCGTTGCCGAGACGACAGAGGGAGGGGGGGGACCCCCGAGGGGGGGCTCGGGGGGGCCGACCCCCCGCCCCGGCGATCGCGCCCGTTATCAGGGCCGCCCCGCCCCCCCCCCTCCCTTTTTTTGAGGGGGATTGATAGGAG